TTGCGATACCACTCCAACCAGTATTCAGGGGTAGACAATCGTCCGGGTGAAGACTCACGCGTCCGCTCCAGTTTATCCTCAGGAACGCCAAGAAGAGTACTGAGCTCGGCTAGAGACAGTTCCTTAGACCGTTCAGCGATCTCATCTTGTCTTCGTTTCAGCTCGACCTCGTCCAGGGTAAACAGTCTATCTTCGAGCTCTTTGTCGTATTCCTCCTTCTCGTCAGTTGCTCCCATGTCCTTTCCTTCTTGTAGGGCATCCAGTTCCTCCTTCGAGAACACTCGCGCGTACGAAGGCGTTATCTCGGGTTCTTCGGCAGCGGTTACGATCTCTTTAGCGTCTCTCTCCGGGCTATTGTTCTCTTCCAGGCTAGTCTCCGAGTCCGTTCTTTCTAGTTCAACGCTACCGGCTGGAATGCCTTCCTCAGCGACTACAGGCTCTTCCGGTTGGGTTTGAACGAACACCTCTCTCTCTTCTTGACTGTGTCCGCTCCAACCCAGGTGACTCCTCGGGTCGTTAATAATGTTAGCGAGCTTACTCACACTCGACTCCACATTCTCGTAGTTATCCATCACTATTGGGACTCCTCGTTCCACTGCGTTCTCAGGTTGTAGTTTTATCTCTCGCAGGTAACACGGTTCCTCAGTTACTGTTCTCTCGTTGCGTCGGCCACTCATCTCGTTACTGTTACTGTCTTCTTCTTCTGCACTCTCTTGTACTGCTCTCTCTCGTTCCACACTCCACTCTTGGCTTGCTCCGGGTCCCATCGACACACCGTCTCGTACGGCTCCAAAGGTCATAGGTATTCCTTGCTCCACTTTTCCAGTTACACACTCTCTTTCTTCAGGCGATTCACACTTATCCAACACGGTGGGTTTCACTCCACCCAGCATAGGACGCACTTCATACCTCACGGTCGACTCCTCCAAGGAGTTCAAAGTGTTCCTACTTGTGTCGTTCCATTGACAAGAGGAAGGAGCGACACTCCCTTCCCCTCCCTCTCGCCCCCATCACTGCTGTCGGGGCGCTTGTCCTTGGACTGGTGTAGACGCTTGAGGAGCAGCCGTTCCAAGGGTCTTCAAAGACGCCTTCAAAGGACAGTCCGAAAGCAAGTGATCAGGTTCGTCACACAAGAAACACTTTCGACCGTTCCTCGGCGGGTTGTTCCGATAACCGTTCGTAGGAGGATGTTCACACTCGACGCTGATATGACCCGCAGTCTTACAGTTGGTGCAAGTCGCCCTACCTCGGCGACAGCTGAGCCGGTTACATCCAAGAACGTGACACCTACCACACACAATCTGACCGTCTTGAGTGTACAAGTCCGTGCCATGACGAACGCCACGGAACGGGGTAGTAGGGGTGGTCGTGGCGGGTTGAGCCTGAGGTATCGGAACACTCTGAGCAGGAGGAGAGTAAGCAGCAGCCACATTCATGGCAGTAAGCAGCAGCCAGAGGACGTTCCAGCAACTGTTGCTGCTGTTGCTGTTGCTGCACTAGCAAATTCTGGGTCTGTTGTATCATGTTCATCATTTGTTCCAAAGCAGCGTTCTCGGTGCGAATCGTCGAAGTGTTCTCGAACTCATCGTCGTTGTCGGAAGGGAGATGCATGTTCTTGAACAGTAACTGCGTTACAGAACCATGGATAGAGTCAATCATACTCCCGTCGAGAGCGGCTCTCCACGGCTTGTTTCGTAGTCCCGTTAGGAAGTACTGGTAGCGTATTTGCTCGTCGTAACACTGAGCGTCGTCACACAAGCCAGAGATCATGTCGCCCCACACTTCGGCGGACATTCCTCACGGACGCTTAGTGTTCTGGAGCCCTCGATCAGCTGCAACGGAGTCTGGCAGATAAACTGGTTATGGAACCGGGTTCGGAGAGTGTCAAAAGAGTTTATACGAGAGTACGTCCACCAATCCTCACCAGTCTTGCCCTTCAGGCACTCGCGGAAAGCACTTAGACGAATGGATTCCTCCAGTCCCACTGTAGCACGCTCAAAAGAGTTCCAGAACGTCTTCGCCTTCTCGACCGACGTTCCATCAGAGTAGAACGGCTGAATCATGCGGAGACGCCAAGCCCTCTAAGAAGCGCACGGCGTCGAAGTCTCCACTCCGCGAGGATATAGAGACTGGGTACTCTCGAAGCCTCTTCGGTGCCTCTGCTAAAGAGGAAGAGGAGGGTGCCATCCCTGAGATCACGAACGATCTCGTCCAGGTGCAGGAGGACTTCCAAGCTGCCCAGCGCATGCGTGGAGGTCCGGTGGCGACTGTAACGGAGTTAGACGCAAGTGGCTACATGTAGCCACTTGGTTACAAACCAGCGGTAACGTTTGGCAGACTATTGGTCTGCATGCATTTTAGACATTCATTGGTTGAAAGTCAATATCTTCAACCAATTAGAATTGTATGTCATTTGTTGGCAAATACCTTTCATTTAGAATATTAGATTGGGAGGAAAACCGAAGCAAAACAAATAAACAGATTTCAAGTTTACCGGAAATCGGCTTTGCTTTTCTATAAAACTTTACTTTCTGGACGAAAGTATAGTTAATCTAAGTGAAACGAATCTTACGCTTTCTCATACACGTGCGCTAACGTGTAAGCCGGCCCATTACACCTGGTAGCACTTTGTAGTCCGTCCAACGACCTACTAACTGACGACTTCGTATGGAATACGAACACGGGGCGGAGAACCAGCCCATGGACAGTAATCCGTCCATGCTTAGCCCAAGTGCTTCTGCCACACACATTACAGACTACCCCCATCTGGCGGAACCAGAGTGGGAAGCTCTCCAAAGACTGTCAAGAGTG